TTTTTCTGGAGCTGAGGTATTGCATTGCACTCATTGCACTGATTTTCTGCAGTATTTTTTTTATGCAAAGCCTTTCAGAATCTATAACGCAGGGGGATAATTATTTTTCAGTGAATGAGGTTTTAATAGGAATAGGTGGAGTGCAACTTTTCGACTTCTATTATTTGCTGTTGTTTCTCTAAAAAAAATGCATAATGATATTACAGCTTACATTGATTTATTTTGATTGATTTATTTTTTGAAACATTGTCTAGCCTGTAATGTGTAAAAAAACAAAACAAAAAAAACAATTAATCGAATCAAATCGAATCATGGTGTATTCTTGAGTATCGAAAATAATCGAATTGTTGGGTCAGGAAATCGATACTAAATCGAATCACCATGATGGATGTGATTTACACCCATAGTATTAGATTCTGCTGTTTCTATTTATGAACATTTGGCTGGTTTTCTGCCTTTGATTGCCATATTAACCGGAAAACCTGTTAAACATAAGGGAGTATGCACATATGCATCAGAGATAAGTCAAAGTCTATGAATATAATATTAGCACCTGAACAATAACTAATTGAAAATGATTGAAGCGGTGGCGGTGTGGTATTAGCCCGCAGCGCTGGACTTACCTCTATAGTAGAACAGGCACAGGTCAGAAAGGACAAACCACCTCTTTTTCCACAGCTTCATGCCCGTGCTGTCCTGTAAATAAAACACAGGAGCTGCTTATTTCTACAAAGGTTTGTAGAATAACATTTAGCTCAAGCAATACAACTTACTGAGATATTTATAGCAATAATAAATACGTTAAATAATGTTGAGTTTGTCAGAAATAATAATAAACCTTGACACATTGTGACACACTGTTCATCTTAAGGTTTATTTAACCTAGACTGTTTGATTAAAGTATTATTCCATCATGCCATCTTGTAAAAGACATTTTTCAGGAGTTTAAGAATAAGAAGAGCTAAAAACCAGCAAAGTTATTTTTCTCTGCTAACATTGGCTTTTAGAAGCAGCTCAGAGAGCTTTTCAGCCTGCTGTGTGAAAAGGATAAAGGGTAAATACGAGAGTATTAGCTGACCCTTTAATGGAAACTTGAGCCTTAATCGTAGATTCCATCCGGAGGAGGGACCTCAGCAGCTCTGTCATTATGGTCAAACAGCGTGTGGGCTGCAGTTTCTTTTACCACCCAGAATATTTTATACATTAGGAAAAATACAAATGGACATCTAGCATCTATTTTTTAAAGCACTGTTATTTTATTATTCGCTAAGGAATACATTTGTTCAAACTTCCTTAGGACCTATAGAGGCGTTCTCCTTTGCCAATCATGCTGTGTTGATTTCCCAGTGGATCCTTCTTTCAGCCAAAGAGTTCAATGGCTTTCAGCCTTCAATGAAGCGAGGAAATAAAAGTGCAAATCCAGCTTTTATTCCGGGTAGGAGATTTGTGAGTCTTTTGCACTGCTTACATCTTCCTGATTAAAGTCTCCAAAGAAAAGCAGCTGGCAGCTGCAGCAAAGTGTCACATGTGAACATAAAATGCACTGGGAGCGCTGCAATCACAGCTAATTGAGTTTCTCTGCAGGTAGGCGTCCAGCCTAACTGAACGCCGTTTCAAATTCCACCTCCCTACCTGAGGAATGCAAACCAGGTGCAATGTGTTGAAACGTTTTCCCTCCTCGCCGTGCAGAAATACCAGACAGAAATATGCATTAAGAAACATTCTTTGCTCATTTGCTTCTGTGTAATCTAGTAGTAAATCAGTTAGAGGATTAGTTTGTTTGTATTGCTCTATTTTAGACAAAGGTTTAAAGGGACAGAGAACCACTGAGCTGATAGATCTACCATAAATAGATTCTGGTTCTGTTTTGACTTTATGCTGTCCGTCTCACCTGTTTGTAAAGCCAGTTTCTCTTGATTACGGGGGCACTGGGATTCCGCCTGATGGAGTTGGATCGTTTCCCAAAGTTATGAATTTTCTTCGAAGGTCTTGAAGGCTAAAAAAAAAACAGATTTAATGAGAAATGACAGTTTTCCTCATTCATTTACACATGTCTTCAAATGGTAACTCCTATAAATAATTTAACCTTTGAAAGGTCTTCCAATTTTGTCATGTTAGCACAAACTTCAATTATTTTAATTGAGATTTTATATGACCCAATTTACAGTACGGGAGAAAATGGAAGGAAATAACGTGTTTTTCTAATTTCTTTCACTAAAAAAAAATAAAATAAAATCTCCAATCCATTTGGGTTTGTCCTCTAACTTTACAACCAGTATTTTACTATAGATGGAAATTTGTTGCTCCCTTTCTTTGCAAAATAACTCAATCTCAGTCGGATGGAATGGAGAGTGTCTGTGAAGCAAAATCTACAAGTCCTGCCGAAGAATCTATATGATTTAGGTCTCTTTAATCCATACATGTGTTTGTTTTAGTGCTGTTCTACTAGACTTCCGATTGCACTTGGATTCCCTAGATTGTTATAAAAGGCAGCAGAGTAAAGGGGCGGACCACACATGCATGAAGGACTTAATGGCTGGTTATACTCCTGCAGCAGTGTGTTTGCATATTTTTGATTTATGCCCAGTTTTAAGCGTGGTCTGCGCTATGTTATTCCACGCCACAACGCAAGAGAGACAATCAGGAACTAGCTCTGGGTCTAGATACAGCCGAGGCGGTGAGGAAGAGGGACATGAGGGCGAAAAAGATGTGGGAAAAGGGTCCCAGTGACTCATCTCAGTAGAGTCCTGCAACGGGACGGGTCACCCGCTAAAATGCTCTTTTGCGGGTGAAAAATACATAAATAAAAATAAATGGGTCAGGCGGATATTTTTTTAGTGCGGGCGGGTAGTTGGTGATTTTTTTTTATGCGTGTGTGTTGTTATGGACATCAGAAATGTTATATTAATCAGGTACTGGGGTCACCCTTGTTGTAGCTTAAAGCCCTGCCGTAAGTGTGGGCTTCCCTCCAAAAAGGCCACAGTCAGTGCATACACGTCTGCTGCAGTGTTAATGGCGCTGTTCTGCAGCGCAGCGTACTATAGCCTATTACTTGATGTGTTAACGGGTCGGGTTGCGGGTTAAATATCAATGGGTCGGGTTCGGATTTGAATTGAAGATATCCGCGGGTGACGGGTCGGGTTCGGTAGTCATCCTAATGGGTTCGGACGGGTGCAGGTTGGTAAAACTCGACCCGTGCAGGACTCTACGTCACAGTATCCCGGCGGCCGGAAATGCTTGAGACACAAGGCAGCGGGCGTCAACACATCCGCAGCGACATCTGCTGGACTGGAAGTTGTATTCCACTTGATTTGGCTGATGTGCGCCATTTTATTTGTTCTTTTTTTTTTTATAATCAATTCTTGCCTTCAAGAATCGATGCAGTAGATCACAAAAATTAGAATTGCGATGCATCGTCATGACGATTATTTTGCACACCCTTAACGGGTCGTATTCCGCAATGTTGGTCATACAAAAAAAACAAGCCGGTAGGTTACCAAACAGGAAATATGGATAGTGTAGAGCGGATGTAGATTTGACCAATCAGAGGCCTCCTGTCTGCGGCATTATCTGCAGTCGCCTACGATTTTGGAGCGGTAAAGCAGAGTGTCTGCGGAAGGTGCAGGAACATAACTGCGTTAACTGTGACACAACACCTGGTTTCTGAGTATAAACCAGCCTTTATTCTTTGTGTATTATTTCCATTTTATTACTATGCAGGACCCATTTATTTTACATAATAAACATCTCTTTAAAAACATGAAGTTTGTGGTTTTAACTCACCAAATGCTTCAAAAGCTCCTATATCTGATAGAGTGACAGTAACATGATAATAATCCTGCGCCAGACTTTGATACTCACTCTTCCTGCTGGACTGTTGGAGTTTGCGGCACAATCCGGGATGGGCGTGTTGTTGGAGGCCTCACTCATGGTGATTGACAGCCGTTCTTTCTTTTCATTCGCTGGCACTTTGGGGGCGGTTCTACACAGGGGGACATAAACCAAATCCTCAGTCAGACATACAGTGCAGACCGTTTCCAACTTATTTAATCTGAATCAGCTTCAGAAAACTTGAAAAACAAGGGAGGACAGAAGGTTGATGCTCTGCTCCCCTCTCATTCCTCTGAAGTCAAAGCCCTCTGGATAATGAGATCCCAGCATGGGCTTATAAATCAAACCAATTACTCCCACCATGTCAGGGCAGATCATTTTTCCAGCCCTCTGACAGTTTTGCAGTAAATGGTTGTGAGGTCTGTCCAAATGATAGACAGAGCTGCAGTTTGGAAAAAGAAACAATTAATACTAATATGTATAAACCAATAAATACATTATATAGGTTTATATGCCTTAGCATTGGAGGCCCTGTTGAATTAGATGGCCGACATTCTTCTTGTGGGGCTTAGATGAAAAGAACGAGATGAGGACCAGACTCAAAGCTGCACTAATGAAGGAATTATTAAATCTATAACTCATTTTATAGCCTTGGGTAAGACCAGAATGGCTGCTGAACTGTCTCAAGCTAAACTAAGGTTTAAAAATGTTATCCCTTTGAAACTACTAACATTTTCAGGCAGACCACTGCAGTTTAAAATCGTTTTCATTAGAGAGCTGCAATGATTGCAGATACCTTAGAGCTTACGCTGGAAAAACAATCTAGAAATAGGTAAAAATTCCTTAAATACAGTGTATTTACCCTTGATTTGACTAGTTAAATTAGATAGTTTGCAAATAGAATGAGTATTTTTACTCTTAAAATAAGATAATTATATAATATGCATTTGAAATAAGACAATGCAGTTGCGTTTGCTTATTTAAATCTAAATTGTCTTGCTCCATTGGCAAAATATCTCTTTTATCTCCTCAATTTAAGAAAAAATGCAATTATTTTATGGAAAAACAACTTATCTAGATTTAGATTTTTCATTTCATTTTTCCAGTTTAAGTGGCTGTTCTAAAGCTGCTGCCACCTAGCCTGACGTAGTCCGACTCAATTCTAGTCAGAATATGAGTCTGATACGGGGGCGTGTTTCGAACGAACCAGGAAAAAAAAGGCCTCTGCACTCAATTGGATAGACCTACAACCAATAAGAGCAACAGAG